CACAGGAAAAACTTGGCTGCTTTTAAAGTCCTGCCTTTTATCTGGGCCATGGAGCCGAGAAGATGAGGAATGTCTTCATCACTGGTTCAAGAACACGAAAGGTGATTGTGAGGAGAAGGAGAGACCCCAACACCAGAAAGGACAGAATAAGACAATATAATTTTAACCTCTGGAATGATTCTTACCTTGCAGAGCCGATGTACTAAAATAGGATGATGCACTTGAATGCATTTTGTAAAGTGAATACGCTATACACAGGTGGTCTTGCTAGTCTTGTTTAGAAAGGAGTCAGCGCACTCTAGTGGGAAAAGCTCTGGCCTGGGAATTAAGACATTTGAATTCTAGTGTTGACTTTGCTCTTAATCCTCCAGACGAGCTCGGACAAGCTCTCTCATGTCCTTTGTCTCAGCGTTAGGACTGGTAAAATGAAGATTGACTCAGTTGGGGTTTTTCAGTAGCAGAAAAAGAAATCAAATTGGCAAAAATGGGATAGTTCATAGAACTGAGACAAAAGCTTCAGGAAGGACAGGAACCAAAGATGTTCTAGAGCTCTGGGCTGATATTCAAGATTGAACAACAAGATGGCACAGACACAGCCCAATCAGAAAGGATGCAGTAGCCACGCTTGAGCAGGGCTCTAGAGGCCCTCCACTGATGTATGTGTCTTAGTCCATTCCGTTTGGGCCACTATAACAAAACACTATAGATTGGGTGGCTTATAAACAGAAATTTATTTCTCCAGTTCTGGAGGCTGGAAGTCAAGGTCAGGGTGCCAGGCATGGTCGGGTGAGGGCTTGTTTCCAGAGTCCCAGACTTCTCGGATTCTCATATGGCGGAAGGGGCTAGGGATCTTTCCAGGGCATCTTTTATAAGAGCACTAATCTCATTCATGAAGATTCAACCCTTATGACTTAAGCAACTCCCAAAGGCCCTATCTCCTAATACCATTATCTTTGGGGGTTAGGATTTCAACATATGAATTTTGGGGAACACAAACATTCAGACCATAGCACAGGGCTAACTCTTCAGTTGTTGGATCAAAGGGAAATCTGGGGTAGTGGTCCCAGGAAGGAGATGGTGGAGAAGACATTCAGGGTTTGGGGAGGCAGCTATTTACCAACTGGTATGGAAGTATTTCAATATTTTAACAACTGGTACAGCTGTATCGGTGTGTTTCTGCTGGATGTTATAGCTATGTCTAGGCATAAGGAGCTATTTATTGTTATATCAGGCCTCATTGCTAGGATGAATTGAGATAAAAATTCAGCAAACACTTTTTTCCACCCTTTTGTCCCACGACTTTGTACTCACAATTGAGGGAGAGAGTATCTGGTTGGCCTGGTTTAGAGTTTATGCCCACACTTGGCCAGAGGAGAAGAGAGCATCCTGAATGACAGTCCTACCATAACAGCATCCAATGGAGTGGAAGCAATTTCCTAAAAAGAATTCAGAGCTCTGTTACCCTAGGGTGAGATACAAAGTATTTAATAGCTGGTATGGCAAGGACATCAATCAATTAGAAGACACGTCAGCCTCTGATTATGGGGCAGGGTCCTGAAGGTTCCCTGCTGCGCTGGGGGTTAACCCTCTTAACCAGCTGTGCTGTTGCAAGAACAGGACAAACACTGGGAGTCTCAAAAGCAGGAATGGGGTAGTCAGCATGGCGCGGGGGAAGAGGGGAGCAGGGGCTTGGACCATGGTTATTGTTCGTAGATATGGCATATTAGTATCAGCTGCTGCCTGCCTACTGGCTGAGTACAAACTCTCTGTTACCAAAAGAAGCGAGAGGAGAGGAACGCTGGGCTGAGGAAAAATCATAGCTGGCTGTTACAGAAGGCTTGAAGTAGAACTCGGCCTTGAATTGAAGGGGCTCTGCCCCCTTGCTTGCATCACTTTGGTGAAGATATTTTGCCTCCCTGAGCCTAACTCCTTGTGTATAAGAAGGGGGTCATAAATAACCCATGAAGCTGGAAACCACGGTTGCTACAGAGTGTATGAGGAAATGTGTGGTGGTATTTTTGGTTTTCACAATGACTAGGAAATGGGGAGGCTGCTACTGGAATTTGGTGATGGAGTCAGGAATAATAAATGTTCTACAATGTCTGGGGTAGTCATTGCTGTCCTACCCAAAATATCAATAGAGCCTCTGTTGAGAAACATTGCAAGGAGAATTTTCCGGAAGAGGTTGCTGAAGAGAATACTGCCATATGCAATGGGCAGAAGAGGGATAGACCTAGTTTGGGTAATAAAGTGGCCATTTATTATTTGTTGTGGATTAGGTCTATAAACACATCTGTCATTTAATCCTCATGACCACCCCCTGAGATACAATTAATGACCCCTTCTTATACACAAGAAGTTAGGCTCAGAGAGGCAAAATATTTTCACCAAAGTGACACAAGCAAGGGGCAGAGCAACTTCAATTCAAGTTTGAGTCCAAAGTCTTTCTGCAAAGTTTCAGGGGGTTGAGAGGAGAGGGACTACAGGGTGTGTGTGGAGTCCTCTGAGAGAAACAAGGTCACAGTCATGTCACATACCCATGATAAGAGTCTAGGAAGAGTTGTTGAGTCCTGAAATCAATTACTGTGGGAAGCTGGAATTTCTGGATATCTTTGAAAAAGCCTCCAGAAATTCAAGTTTGTTCAGACAAAGTTTTTCCTAGATTGAGGGAGGAGATCATTAACCGGTCTTCTGGTCTTGTTTCTATGATCAGTTCTCAGTACCCTACCAGACTCTGGGGGCTGACCTTAAGATAAATTTTGAATAAACTCTCCCTTGAAAGGGCTGGAAATTCACACACAACTGCAACTTAATGGAAAACTGATTGAAACCAGCCATTCTGACTGAAGATTAGTTGGAGTCTTTACATTGAAAGTGAAATGAAAGAAGTCAAAAGTTAAAGAGATGAAGGAAGGATGAGTTAGGATTTTAAAAAATCACATTTATACCATTACAAAATCAATATACATTATCGTATAAGATTTTTATCGAACAAATATTATTCTTCTTTATTTGCTATATATAGATTTTCATACACATGTCATATTTGAAAATCGTCAGAGAATTCTCATTTCCAATTTTCTATAATTCCATCATAAGTACTTTTTCACCCCCTTTGCTTATAACTTTGTGCTAAGGTGCCACTACCTCCCCCAAGGGAATTACAAGAAAAGCTGAACTTATTAGCCATCTACCTCTTGGTAAAAATGAAGGACATAAGAGTCATTTTATTAGTTAAAGGGCAGCACAGAGTATGAGAGAAGCAGGCACTTGCGGGGGTCGGGGGCAGAAGAAAGGACATCTAACCAAAGTGGTAGTTGTCTCCAGGGATAAATACTGCGTTTCAGGAATTCTGGTCCCTGCGCCTCAATCTAGGGTGGATGGATCTCTTTCCAGTTCCCGTCCTCTCCCAAACCCCAGGTGCAGACACCAGGTGGCGCTCGCACCCTTGCAGTACTGCGTCTGGAGCCCCTACACTTGGGGCCTGTGTCCTGAAAAGCCGCGCGGGCTGCCTGACCCCGGAGAACCGCGTTCAGTGAAGCGCAGAAGCAAAGGGACGGCTAGCTCGGCCCCACCCTGAGGCTGAGCTGAGGCCAATGTGGAAAGGGACCAGTGGACGCAAGGCGGCAGTGAGGGCTGTGGAATCCGCCCTGGTCACTCCAACCGCGGGACCAGCAGGGAAGTTCAGAGCTTGGGCAAGAGGATGGAAGCACCATGCAAATTCGGGGAAAGCAGAGGAGGTGGCTAACATTGGGATGGTTAGAATGTCGGAAGGACCCCTCTTATAGATTTTAAACGTTACAGACCCTCTTTCTGGATTCTCAGCGGGCCGTGATGGAAGCAGGTTCGGGGACCTTTGAAGAGTATCACTTGCCCTTTCTCTTCTCTCCATCACCAGCCTTTAGGGGTGGTGAAATACCCTCTTTTCAGTTTTCCAAGGCGAGCAAGTATTTTCGCACAAAAATGGGTTCTTGCTAAATTCCCAGTTTCTATACCTTCCTCCCTAACATTCGTGCGCGCACAAGCTGGATTGTAAAGGACGCCGCGGTGGTTTTATTTGCACGGTTCAAAAGTGGGTAACGATGATGAATTTCTAAGGGGGCCCAGAGGGTGACAGCGCAGGGCCGAGTCCCTAGAGACCCGGCGCCAGGCTGTGGCGGGCCTCCTGTGTTGCACGTCTCAGGGTGGAGCCTCTCGGAGGGTGGGCTGCGTGGATCAGAACTACCAGGGTGTTTGATGAATGCAGAGTCCCTGGCCTCAGCCCCGACCTGTTGAAGCAGGATCTCTGAGTGGGAATCTGCAGGTTAGGAACTCCAGCCACAGGCCACTGCCGACATTCGTCCTGCTAAACCTGCAAAAATGTCCATTTCAACACTCCCAGAAGATTCTCCTGAACTTTAGAGTTTGATCATCGTTGCTTTGGCGTTTTACAACCCTTGTTCCGAACTGTTCGGAAAGGGAAGGGAGAGGAGGGGAGGAAGGGAACCCTTTTACAGTGAGTACGGGCCCCCAGAGCGCAGGCTTCTTGCCGCGGGTCGGCAAGGGTGGTCTTGAGGAGCGGAGAAGTGGGCACACAGCACCTGCGTAGCAAAGGGCTCCAGACCTCCCAAAGCGACCGCAGTTTAGCAGCCTCACACTAGCCTGGGCCGAGTGGAGGAGCAAAAGCGGCTCTTTCCCGCGCTCGACACCCCGCTGCGGCGCGCACCTGGGGCCCCCGCCAGGTTTGGGAGGAGGGGCCCGTGGGCGGTGCGGGGCGCGCTCCTCAGAGCAACTCCTGTGGGGCGGGGGTGGCAGAGGAGGAGGAGATAAAGTGGGGGGTGTTTGGGATTTAGGCCTGCCTCCCACCTCCCCACCCTCCGCCCCCGCGGCCACCTTCCGCTCTATAATTGGCCGCCGGCTGGCCTGCCTTCCCTCTTATCAGATCCTGGGCGCCCAGCAGGAGGGAAGCGCTGGAGAGGAGGAGGCAGCTCCAGGCGGCCAGGAGTGGGAGCAGGAGAGGGAGGAGGAGAGGGAGAGGGCGAGGAAGAAGGATAGGGAGAGGGACAGGGAGGGGGACTGGGAGAGGGAAAGAGGCTAATTAAAAGGGGCACACAGCGGAAAGGGAGTGAGAGCGGTGCACCGCCAAGAACCAACGTGCAGCGGCACTTGGATCTCCCCTAGGCACCGGGAGGTCCCCAACCTGGGCTGGAACCTTGCTCTGCACAGGTCAGTTCTAATCTTTCTCTGCCCTTCTTCGGGTCGGCTTTGAAAAGTCTGTTCGTGAGGAAGGAAAAGTGGAGAGGGCGAAACACCTGCAGACGCAACGCAATTCCGTGGACATTTTCTACAGCGCGCGCCCAGGATGGTCCAGGGACCTTTGGGGTGGGATGGGACGGTGCACCGGGACTGCGCAGGAAGAATAGGAGGTGCTGCGTGACACGAATGCACAGACTGTGAAGACGTGTTGCTCCCGGGAGCTTTTCCCTGTACTTGGGTGTTGTGAGCGCGCGGCGGGAATAAGCGGCTTTGGGTGCGAGACAGTGGCGACTCTAACCTTTCCAAGAAGAAAGGGTTTAGTAAAGGCGACAATCTGGTGAGAAAAGGGCTTAGGGATATGTCTTGGAGGGCAGTATATAAATAGAAAGCACGCTGTCTTTATTTAGATTGTATTTGGGGTCGCTTGGGAGAGCAGTCGAAGAGGATCATGGGGGACAAAACTCACCCAGCCACCCCTCGATACTACCACAGATTAGTGCAGGGGACCAGGCACTAGACGCAAAGAGGAGCACCCAAGCAGGGCGCATCGTTGGAGGGTGTTGGCGGTAGCCGCTCTTCCTCTTTGCGTCAGGAAACCCAGATGCTTCGCGCGTTTTGTTTTGGTATCTGGGACCAGGAGGTTGCGGCTTTGAGATGCACCAACGGGATGTGGTGTTGGAGGGTTCTCTCTGCCCTGGCTTTTCCACTCCTAACCTCCGCCCTTTTTATTCTTCTGGACCTTTCCTTCAAGCCTCCTAATACGCAGCGCCTGGGCGGAGATGCATCCGGCGGAGTTAGGTTTTGGGGTGTAACGTGCACAAGCAAGACAGAGTTAGAGCCTGGCCAGGAGGATCCGGCGTGGGGCCACTGGAGTGGCCTCAGTCCTAGGTGAGGGCCTGGGCGCCGCCTGCAAGTCCAGGACCACAGGCTATCCGATTTTGGAGCTGGGTTCTTGGGTCCTCTGCGGGAAGCATGCTCTGTGGCGCGCGAGCTCAGGGCTGACAGGGGGTCGCCCCTTTTGCCTAGGTGCCGGCTTGGACTTGTCCTTAGGGAAAGTGCCCAAATGGGGCTCGTATGCAGCTCTCGCAGGGACCTGCATTTCCCCCCGAAAATCGGTTCTGGAGCTGCTACTGAGAGCCCCATTCCCTCTGGAAGTTTTGGATTCTATTCTGGAAGTTTTGGAGAGTCCGCTGCTGGCAGCAGCTGAAGGGGGTGGGAGGGGGCAGGAACAAAGAAATATGGAGATAAGACTTTGGTGCCTCTGTGGGGAGCAGGAATGAAAAGGAGTTTTTCTGAAATTCCCCTGTTACAGGCTCTGGGGCTTTTCACCTGCAGAGGACGGCGGGGGACCCTTCCTAGTTGCCGCATGTGGTGAAGGGGCCCTATTCAAATCCAGCAGACGAGCTTAAGCTGGGTGCAGTGAGAACTGGTGTTCTGTTTCTGACAAGGTAGTCCAATTCAACACGCAGAGAACTCACTGGTCAATTTAGAACGAGTGAATGAATAAATGAATGAATGAACGGATAGCATTTGGATTTTTGGTTGTTGGGAAAAGGCAACTTGGTTGGATTTCCTCTGAACCTGGTGGCAGTGGCGTGATTACTGTAAGATAGAGTTCAGGATAGTATTTTTTTTTAAAGCAACTTTATTGAGGTATAATTCACATATCATACAAGTGTCCAATTCAGTGGTTTTAAGTATATTCACAGAGTTGTGCAATCATCACCACAATGAATTTTAGAACATTTTTATCACTCTAAAAAGAAACTTCGTACCTATTAGCAGTAATGCTCGTTTCTTCCCAACCTCTCCTCCACCCCACCCCACCCAGCCCCTGGTAACCACTAATCTACTTTCTGTTGACATTTCGTATAAATGGAAACATACAATATGTGTGTGGTCTTTTGTGACTGGCTTCTTTCACCTAGCAAAATGTTTTCAAGGTTTATCCATGATGCACAGGATCCTCTTTAACTAAACACAGAGCATCTCCTCCTTCTCTGCCTGGGGAGCCCTGAGCTAGGAGAGACCTGAACCTCCAGTGCAGCCCTGACCTCCTGGGGGTCCCTTTGAAAAGACAGGAGCCACACTGGTGAGGCCTCTCAGTAATTCCCTGGGTAGAATTTCTTGGAACCCATCAGAATTCCTGGAGCAGTTTTGGGTAGGTCCCAGGCTTCAGGATTGATGGGAGGAGCCCTTTGGCCCTTATTCTGCTGCTAACATTCCAGCTGAGGATTTCAGAGAACTCTCGGGGCCTTCCCTGCGTGTCTTGTTTTTCAGAATCAGCCAGGGCTGGCCTTAAGAATGGGCTGAGCAAACTGGTATTTGAGGGGTACTGGGACAAGACCCAGCACCCCCAAAAGGCCCTTGGGGGTGTGCTCCCTTTGGCTTTTAAATACTTCCTAGTGTCACCTAGTAAAACACAAAGATCTTTTGCCAGTTTTCAGCTGACAGTCTCTGCAGTTCTGTGATTCTAGAGCCACACTGCTGTCATTTTAATCCTAATGCAGCCAAATAACTGCTGTTTTGCTGGCCTGTGGAGTGTAACCTGATTCCTTTGAAGGACAGGGCCTTTTTGAATTGCTGCAGGCTGAGGTGGTGGTGTTTGAGTGCGGAGCTAACAAATCATCTGGGATTACCACACTCTGTGTAGAGCAAGATCCTTGGTAAATGAGACACTAGATGGTCCCAGGGGCAACAGAGGGGCCACTGGGGGTAGGGGGAGGGAGGGAGAGGAAAGTTTAAAGGACAATGGCAAAAACAAATTCCTCCTTGTCAGATTTGCCCCTGATAATGCTGGATGTCAGGAAAACAATCTCCTCTTGCTCCTTCTGTAACTAAATAAAAAGTGGCAGGGATCCAGTTACTCCTCTGTGTACAATAAGCCTTGAGTGAAGACCAAACTTCATGCTGTTCCCGTGGGGGTGATGAGTGTGTGTGTGTGTGTGTGTGTGTGTGTGTGTGTGTGGTGGAAGTGCTGGCATTTTTTTTTTTTTGAGTACCTATTGAGTACCTATCCTTTTCTCTTTTAGAAACATATTTAAGTCTTCCAATTACTTGCGGAAGTAATTATTCTTCTTTTAGAGATAAGATCACCGAGCTTCAGGGACATAAATTACCTTGCCTGGGGTCACAAAACCAGCAAGTGACAGACACCTGATTAAGATAAGTCTATGAGATTTGAACCCAGATCCCATTGGACACATTCTCCTTCAGTTTCTTTGATGGGGTTGGGGGAGGGGTGTGTGACTGGAAATGAATGATGTCAGCTGAGGCCCTACAATCTAGTAACTAAACAGGGGATGGAAGGCAGACAGATACAGGTGAAATCTAAACTTGCTCCTTCTGTGCGCTGTCCATGGACACATCAATGCTCTTGACAAACTTTTCTGCCAGTGGGCCTTTGTTGGAGCTACCCTGGCAGGTGTCTCTAACTTTGAGTTTTATGGAGCAGTGCTGGATCTCTTTCCTCCCAGAAATTACCTGGATTGTTTATGAAAATTGATCTAGAGGGAGACCAGGCTTTGCTGAGTCCATCTGAGTGTCTTAGGATGTGTCTATAACCAGGGCTACTCAGGAGACACTTTATTGGATAAAGATTTGTTCCTGGGTGGCTTTCTACCTGGTTTTGTAGAGAGGAGCACTGAATTGCTATCTAAAAATGATATTCTACTGCAGGGTTTTTGCTTCCATTCTTCCTTTACTTTCCAGCCCTTCCTCCTGCTATGTACTGAAACTGTGCTAAGCATTCAAAATATAGTGGTGAATATTACACTTTGGTAGGTAGAAATGCAAATATCTGATTATAATACAGTGTTAAGTGCTACAGAATGGAAAATAAAAATTGCTACTGTAGGAAACTTGGGGTAGCATCTGGCCCAACCTTGGAATTTCAGGGAAGCCTTCCTGAAGGATGTCTATCTATATTGAGATGTGCGGCTATCCTTTATACTGCTTATACATGGTATAGAGTTTAGTTAAAAACAATCTTCCATTTCTTTGACCAAGAAGCTGTGTCAGTCCTTAAAAAAAGGAGGAAAAAAAAAAAAAGCCAGGTGATGGATCATTCCCAAGTCAAGGAGCTGTCATTCCGATTATGCCATACTTTTGGGACGGCTCCGCCTTCTATGGGGTAGAACTTACAGCACTAGTTTAAGACTGAGCAGCTGCATTCCTAGGGCTGATTTGCAGTCAATTCCCTTGCACTAGAGTCATTACCAGGGCTGCTGTTAACCTACATAGGGTCTTTCTGTGAATTAGAAAGAGGTGGTCTCTCTGGGCATGCCCATGCCATTGGGAGAAGAAAACAGCATCCTTTCGTCTGGATAACACAGCTTTGCATACAACTTGGAGAGCAGAGTGTCTGCTAGTTTCAAGCATCACTCACTCTAGGCCAAGTGCAAATTGTGCAGTGCATCAGCTGTGATCTGTACACATCAACCCTGATCATTCAATCATTGATCATTCAGTCAATCAATATTTATTCATTGCCTTTTATGCACTTTGAGCCTTTTTGATTATGGTTCAACTCCGCATCTAGATGTCCTGTAGTACCTAAGACCCAGAAGGTAAAAATAGTTACTGAAGCCATGACGTTAGCTGGAGAGTTGGAATGGGATATGGGGCAGATGCACCCCACTGGAGGTCTGATTGGTGAGGGATCTAGGTCACTGCTACACAAATTGTGGTCTGCTGGTTGGTGCCCATCCACAAACTGTTACTTCCCCCTGATTAGATAAAATTGCACCAGAGTGTGAATCAAATATGTCACTATGCATACTGTTAGTTCAGCTGAGATATTTTTTCATAGCAAAGCTTTCTTGATGAAGGAAGCAAGACAATGCATAGATTTACATTTTGGCATAAGTTCCTTATCTCATTGTGGACCAGTAACAGTTCACAGAACAGGTATTTTGAGTAGCACCAATCTAGGCAACATTGCCTGGTATCTGGCCAGGAAGACGATCTTG